GGCAGGCACGCTTCCCTGTGGAGACAGCCACCAATGGCACCCTCAGCCCAAGCTGGCTGACCAGATGCTTTCCCTGCCAAAAATGCCACTGCTTTCCCTGAGGACCATGGGTTGCACAACACTGTGGGGGCAAATGTCTGTGACCCCGTGTGCACACACACTGTGTCCTGCCCTGCCTGGACCAGCTGTGCTGACACACGCAGTCTGGGTGTGCCCATGCTGGGGAAGGTGGCTTGGTTGGGGGACAACAAAGGGAGCTACCAGAGAAGGTGTGTGTGATGCTGGTATGGGATGCAGGGATGCTGGAAGCAATCTCCCCAGGGAAGCTGTTGGCTGGGTACCCTGTGCTGGCAAGAGTGGAGCCTCTTGCGACCTCAGCCCTGGAGGAGCTCTTGCCTTGGTGAAGGTTTTCTGGGCCCACTGGCATTTTTATGGTCTTTTAGTCTTCCTCATCTCCCTTTTATTCATTAAAAGACAAGAAAGAGCACAGAGCTCAGCTGAGGTGCTTTAGGGTGGCTACCTGAGCACTGCTTGAGAGAACCTTGAAGTGTGCTCCCAACATGTGCCCTTGCCATTGCTCTTTTCCTCTGTGTCTCCACTCTGCCACTGGAACCCCCACCCCAGTGCCCCAGCCCAGAAGCCCCCAAATCCAGCAAAGCTTACCTATGGAAAAGGGCATGAAAGCCTCCCTTTTCCAGAACTGACCATCCTTCAGGAAATGCCCGGGGTTAAAACTGTCAGGGGTTTCCCACTCATTCTTGTCAAACATCACAGAGGTTAAATTTGTGAGCACAATAGTGCCCTAAGAGGAGAAAAAGAAAAAGAAGTTGCAGTTTCTTGGTCACTGACAGCAGAAGGGGTTTATGAAGAACAACCATCGTCAGATTCTGCTGCCATTATCTGTGCAACACTACACCCACATGGCCATTTTACCATTCATCTTGTCTCTGCTCCAGTGCAGTGATTTTAAAACCCCTACTTCTTACTCATTGGCATCATTTTTATCTGCTATACTCTAGGGATAGAGTTCCTGTCAAAGCTGTGTGAGATGGGATCTGTGCCTCGATGGTGTGTATTGGGTGTGTGTCACCCTGCAGTGCTCTGGAGAACACCGGATGGTTTTGGATGGCAAAAGCAGATGTTGCCTGGGAGTGAAGCGTGGACAGGGCAGAGATGTTGTGGCTCTTCCTATTCTGTGTGTTTAGGAGTGACTTGGCCTGGAGGCTCGTGTCCGAGGAACTGGGAATCTCTGGGAGCACTCTCCACACTCCTG